AATTATTGTAATATAACTTATAAATTTAGTGGCCAACTACCACTTGTAATGTAGCTAACAACAAACAAAAGCCACGTGTAGTTTTCGAACCTGTTCGATGTTTTCTTGAGGTAACCAGAGCTTTGCCATGCACATTGGTTAGTATATAAATAACACCTAATTAATTAGAATTTAAAATCAGGTTTTTCTCAAGCCGAATTCAGTTTAAAATATAACACTTTTCTGGTAATTATAATAAAACTATAGATTTTTTTACGTTCAAAAACTTGTATAAATTGCATTTAAAAACATACAAGGAGTAATGTTTGCAAAACATAAATTCACTTTAAAAGTCTAGAGAAATATTTAAAGTTTTTTTTGTTAATTTTATAATCAACGTTTCTGCCCGTTTTATTATGACGTACGGTATTTGTAATTCAGAAGTTATTTTAAAAGCAATAAATTTTTAGCTTAATAGCTTAATTACGATATAATAATGTAAGATCACATGAAAATATGCACTTTTGCAATTTTGCCTTAACAATGCTCTACTATGAACATAAATTTAGATTTGATTTACCAAATGAACTTTGAAATGTTCTTAATGAAATAATATATTATAAAGTCAAAGAAATCTTTCAAAAAACTGGGAAATAAAAGGAAAACCTCCTAGGAAAACATGTACTCGGTAAGATAAAATGTATGAGATCTAAGAGTACGCAACCTTTATAAATGGTTCCTAAATTCTAATTTATTTGTCCATTGGTTTTTATGACGTTATGTTATAATAGAGAAATTTAGTTCTCAGATAAATTATTTTAATTAATTATTTTACATTAAAGAAAGCACGTACTTTATAGCATCTGATTCTCCCAAATTTTCCAATTACTAGATCAGAAAATTTGAGACAATCAGGTAGCAAGTCATTATTCTGATAAAATAATTTGATTAATATTTTATGAAACATTGGTTTTTTTGGTGTGGATAAGTGCTGGTTTAGATAGGAAGTATAAGTTAATAAACAATTACTAAAAATATGGGTTTTATTGATTTCAATTAAAGTACATATTTTACATTAAAAGAAAATTCTTCAGATGAACTGGTATGGAAACAAGTAGTAATCAAATAATTCTACAAGTTAGAATTTCATACTATCTTTTAGAGTAGTTCTTTTTTAAGCTTTAAAATTCTTTCGTAAAAAATTACTTTTCGTCGCTTTTTCTCTTAAACCTCCCACTTATTTAGCTGAAAAAATTAAATAAATATACTCTTAACACTGTTTTCAATGATGTCTAAGTGTAATCATCATCAGGACCTTCAAGACTACGTGCATACTCTTGAAAACCCAACTCGTGGGTACTCTTGAATGAATGTCTTAACTCAGGAAAAAACAAAAAAAATATATATATATAATTGGTAGCACACTTTCACGTTTGCTCCCGGCAAAACCTAACAAAGTAACTTAAATTCAGGGCTGTGGAGTCGGAGTCGGTAGATTTTTACGCAACTTCCACAGCCCTGGCAGGGCTGTTGAGTCGGAGTCGTGGAGTTTTGGTGTTTTAGTCGGAGTCGGTAGATTTTTACCCGACTCCACAGCCCCTGCTTAAATTTATAGTGTAACATAGTAACAAATAAAACTCATCGCTTACACTTTTAAAAAATCTGAGAAATCGTTATTTCAAAGTGTAAAATATTTCGGAAGAATGTTGAAAATTTCACATAGCTATTAAATCATAATGTTCAATTTAAAGATTCACCATTTACGGAAACTTCACTTTCCTCCACAAGCTTTGTATAACACCAATCACAGGATAAGGTCATCCAATCTGCTCTCGGATGACCTTACCCTACTAAAAATGAAGCAGTGTTTATGCAAACGATTCAAACATTCATTAAAAACCCGATATAAGTTATTTAACAGCGTAATTTATATTGTATGAAAATGCACATACAACAGGTCCTCGATTTAACCTTAAAAATTTCTGTCATAAAGGAAAAATTTTATATTCTGTTTTTATTCACAAACAATACAAAATGTTGGGTCAATGAATCAATAAGTGTAAATAACAGTACATCATAACAATATTTAATACATCTTGTACATTGTTAAAAATATACAGTCATTATTTGTTCTAAAAAAAGGCAGAACCAATGCATGACCTGATGCAGCGAATTTATTTCGTTTATAAAATAATGATATGCATTTCGAGTGTATGTAGAACTCTTTTTCAGTAATCGATCTCTGTAAAAACATACATTTATACTATTACAGCCATTTACTATTTACATTTAATATATTACTAATCTTAACATAGACTTAAGCCTACTTGTACATCTCTTCCGATAGATACAGTAGAACTTTATGATCCAACTTTGATCTTAAACTTCGTTCTCAAACTTCTACGAGAAATGTTATGGGAAGGTATATATGTAAATATGTTAAGGTTAGTAAAATATTAAATGTAAATAGTAAACGGTTATAACAGTATAAATATGTTTTTACATACATCGATGACTGAAAAGAGTTCTATAAACACTCGAAATGCATATCATCATTATATAAAGTTACTGAATCAAGTCATGCATTGATTCTGTCAAAAACAAATAAAACAAAAAATGTATTAATCATGCGATTCTCTACAATTGGGAATTCAAAAATATTGATATACTGTATATTTATTAATAAAGAAAATATATTTTATTTAATGGATTTCCAGCAAAAGAAGACACCCCTTTCCCAATTAATCCTTTAAGTCGAAGACCTATAGACAAAATAGGATTATATTCTTGCACTAATCTTACTTATTTTCTTATTTAACCAAAATTTTATTTCTTGCAAAATTTGTTAAACAACATAAATATCAATATTTTGATTATTTTCTTTCCTAAATTAAATATATTCCATATACTATTATATATAAAATTATTTATGCAATTTTGTTGTTACACGTCAAATAATTATTTGCTATTGTAACAAACAAGAAAGTATTTCGCAAAATTTCCTGTAAAATATCTTGTATTATATTACGAAATGAATTACAAATCTATGATGATGTGAGAAAAAAGCATTATTATTATTATACAAGATAATATCTCCTAAAATCATTACTCATCAAAAAATATTAGAAATATAAAACCAGTTATTTGTTATTTCAAAAACTTTTTTAAGACTATACATTAATTATCATATACATAAAACACTATAAATATTATTATTAATTCAAATAAAAAGTTTTCCTTTTATTTAAAATTTCTATAAATTCTTTTAATAAACTTTTAAATTATGATAAATAACTATTAAATTCAGTTTTTATTGCGTTATGTATAAATTTTTCTATACATAAAAATAGCCATGTTTTCCTTTAATTAAATAATTATAAGTTGGAATTTACTTTTCCAGTGTTTTTGGACGTTATTTTATTTAAAATAAGAAAAATTAATATAAAATAATTTATGATTTTAAAAAAAGTAAGTTGATACCAACAAAAAACTATACAGTTGTAAATTAATATAAAATTCCACCAATTTATATTTAGTATATAATTTACAAATAGATGTAAAAAAGTTACGCATATGGTCTGAATTTTTTCTTGTTGTTTATAAGTGACTTTTTAAAACGGAGCAAAAGGTCATTATTTGTTGTTCACCTTGAGCTTAAGTTTTCCCACAAGTTTTCAAAGCAGCAAGTTTTTAATAAAACTTAACAAACTTGATCATAAGATTGTTGGAACAGCGTAATTTATCCTTTTGTTTTGGAAAACAAAAGCTTTTAGAAACAATCGAAGAAAAAAATTATAGAGCCTATTCTTTTCGCTATTTCCCATATATTTAAAGCAAACTTATTATCCAAGAATAATTATATATATATTTGTATGTATAATGTAGAAAATTATTAACAGAAATAATTAGTAGCAAATTGAAAGACTCATTTTAAAAGAATTTTGTCCAAATGTTTTTAAAATAATGACATTATTTATTTATTCGCGTATTATGCATTATGCGTTGTATTTCGTATATAATATAATACAATACAAATAAAAATGTCATTATTCTATAAACACTTCGACAAAAATGAAGCTGTGGAATATCTTTTAATTTTCTATTGATTAATTCTGTTAATAATTTTCTAAAACTTTTAAATGTTTTCACTTCTAATTATTAATTACATATTTGCAGATCTATTAAATATTTATATAAAAGTTTAGAACTATAATTCTTATTACAATACTTTTTACTACTTTATTAAATAGAAAGAAGCGTAATAATGCAATTTTATAACATAAATAGTACACAAATAGTTCATTTATGATTTGCATACAAATTTAAATTAATACGTAGCATGTATTAAAATGTTAATGAAATTTTAATGTAAACGAATTAATGAAATCAAATGGAATTTTTAAATCTTAAGACAACCAAAATATCATGTCACGAATTATGAGAAATTTAAACCGCAAATAAATTTAACACATTTTAATATATTAAACTAATATTTATTCGTAGAAAATCTGAAATTATTTCTTTTTTTTTCCTTTTATCATTTCTTGAAATCAAGATTATTACAGTTACAAGGAATGAGTCTGCAAAAATCTTTAAAAGTCTATTTAATTCTTAGAAATAATTAAAGTTAATAATAAAAAATATCATAACTAATCGAATAAACGCTATTACATTCATAAAATAATATCATCTTTGTTTTTATTTAAAATATAATTTTAATAAATACATAATTTTTAAGGACATTTTAAAATAACGTTTTGCGGTTTATTTTTTAATAGATAGATATTTAAATGGTTATGTCGAGTCCGTCTAAATTCTAAGAAAACACAATGCAAACAAGTTTTAAATTATTTATGGATTTGATTTTAAAAAAACGAAATAAAAAATAATAATAAGATTAATAACCTTGTTTATCCACAACATTAAATCACTTTATTAAGAATATGTATGATATTATAAATTAAATGTTAAGAATGCATGTATAAAAACACTAATAAACTATATTTATTTTACATTTCAAGATCATTTTTATGCTCATTTTTACTGGCGATAGAGAAGCTCGAGGAGAAATTTTGAGAGGATATCCGTGCATTCGTCGTTTACATCAATTATATTGCGCCACGCCAGGCAACAAATATCCAATGTAAGTATTTCGAAAAAAAAAAAAAAAAAAATCAAATTTTCAACTATGGCTATGGCCGGGTTTATGGACGGGCATCCTAGGCACGTGCTGAGGAGCTGCCATAAAAAAGATGATGATAAAATAGGGCAACCATAACTGCGAGTTCCCTGGAGCCCCATAAATAAATTCGTCTATGCTATAATTGATAATTTTTAATATTGCAAAGAATCAAAGAGATGTTTTTGTTTTAGTGAAAGAATTAAGTTATTTATTGACGAAAATAAAGCATTGATGAGAAGAATGTTTGGTGAATATACCTACGAACCCGACTTAAACTTCAACTCTTCTTTTCCTCGAGATCGATTTGAAACTTATGACGGACATGTTATTCGCCCTCGTTCCGAAAGATCGAGGAATTCCTATAGTGCATCTAACAACAAGTAAGAACACAAGTTTTGTAATTACACGTACAGTATTAAACGAATTCGAAATAATCTTAATTCTCAACATACATCATTTAGAGTAGATTCCTGCGAATCAGCTATTGAGATAGTGACTCCTTATTGGGCTTCGAATAGTGCTGGAAAAATTCGAGCTATTGTAAATACTCAACATCTGCAGCAAGCAATTCAACAAGAAGTTTGCCAGTAAGTACGAAAGAAAACCCAAATACAATTCATTTATTTTATAAATGTACAGTACTTTGAATTACTTTCTTGTCAAGGTCCGACCAGACAAAACGGTGTACGGGAGATTGTTCTTGCGAACAAAAATATAAATGGCACAGGTTGTTATCCTACGATCCCGATGACGACTGCAAAGGAATTTTTATGGATTGGTTCCTCTTTCCATCTTGCTGTGTATGCAGATGCACTAATAATCCCGGAACTACATGAATTCTAATTCAGAAAGTTTTTATGGAATATTAAATTTATTTTATAATAAACCTGTTTTTGTCAATCATTTATTTTAATTATTAAATTAATTTTTCTATGTAAAAATTATTATTTTATTTACTAAATTCTCACTCGTGTTTGTTCTTCATAATTTTATTTGGTATGTTCTGTTATAATGTTCAATTAAATTCTATAAAACTTCGGACGATAGTATATAGATAGCAGCATAAGTATTTAATAATTCTAGAAGTATTTTAAATGCTTATAATAAAGACGAGTTAAAATATAAGACTGTGAATTATTCAAGTAAAAAAAAACATTCAAATATTTTTATTGCTTTGAATGAGTCGCTGAATTATATATTTGCTAGAAATGCACGCTTCGCCGCTCAACGTGACGAAAGGCACGTCATACATCGCTTTCCTTTTATCAACTACAGTTCTGAATTATATAAAAAACGGAAGCTAATATTTTAGCAGCATGGATATCAGAATCAAGACATGTCGTCTTAGTATCCTATTTCAAGTCATACAACTATCCAATTTAATGAACTTGATTATATCTAATAAAATTCGAAAAGAGAAAAAAAAGAATTTATTAAAAAATTACAAATCATTAAAAATGTCGATTATTTCATTTTCATTAATTTTAGTTTTTATTTTATTTCATATTTATTAAGCCTAACGATCACGCTACATTTTCCATCGTATCAAATTAATAATACTTTCGTACGATTTCTATCGTTTGTTGTATATCCATCTCGATAGGGTTTCAAACGTCCTTTTTTCTCCCCGGTTGTGTCCATTTTTTTTGCTCTACAACCACAAGCCCGGGCGAGATTTTTAAAATATGCATTTATGCTCGGGATTCTAATAAATGAGAATAAAGTAGCAACATCTTTTGTCTATTTAAAATAATTTCGTAACACTGCCAGTTAGGTTTGCCAGACAATACAATAAAAATCAAACATAATTATCCCATAATTTCAGAAATTAGAAAGCATACTTATTTATTCGAATACTGTATAAACAACAGATGAATTTTGGCACAACTGTATCAAATAATTAAGGAATTTTTTTTATGTATATGCAAAATGAAATTGACAATATCTTAAAATCTGAAAAGTACATTTTAAAAAAAGGATTAAGTTTGAAAAATATCACAATTTGTACAATTTTTTATAAAGTAAAATAGTCCTAAATAATTTTGAAAGACGATTGTAAATAAAACAGACTGCGTCTTACATTTTTTTAATAGTCAAATTTCAATAATAAAAATTGAAATAAGTTTGTTACAAAACGAAATTGATCCAAATCGCTCTTAATAGAAATACAGCTATACTCAATGTTACATTTTACACTTAAAAGTTATCAACAATAATGCATACTTTTATTTCGTTATATAATATACAGTGACTCCAGTTTAGCAGGGTTTTTAAAAATTTTATATTATAAACATTTGGGTCACGGAACCATTACAAATACATTGGGTCGCTTGAGCAAAAAGTTTGAGAAACGCTACAGTCTATACTGTAAATAAAATCGCTTAAAATCGTTACACGTTTTTCTGTCATAAAAAAAAGAATCGGCGACACCGGGTATTAATGAATTGTCAAATTTTCGGACAAGTGGGTGAAGCCCCCCGGAGCGAGCTAATGAAACGAGTGAGAGGCGAAGTCCCTAGTATTTATATAAATACAGTAGAGCGTCGTTTATCCGAATCAATTGGGAACTGGGGTTGTTCGGATAACCAATTATGTACGAAAAAATATATTAATTAATTTAGCCCGTGTTGAAATTTTTCTCCGTTGCGTGTCGCTTCGAGTTTAATTTTCGTCAATGTTAAGCCTAACGAAGACTATTGTATCGTTAAAAATTATTTTTTTTATTTTGTACAAACAAAATAAATATATTGAAAAATATAAAAACAATAAAAAATTATACTTCAGAAGTTAATTTAGTATCAAAAACGTAAAACATTTGAGTAGCCGAAGACATAGCCAAAGATTACAGCGCCACAGCACTGGCGAAAATTTAAATTTGTCGACTGGAATTCCTTCGGATAACCGACCTTCGGATAAACGACGCTCTACTGTATTTAAATTTCTAACAAACTTTTGAAAGTTTGTTTAAAAATTATGATTTGAAAGTTGGCTTAATTTTGCTTTGCAGTACCAGACCATGTGGAATGAATATTCTCATTAATGCAGTTACAGTATACCAAAGAAATAAATCGCCTCTGTAGAAACACTTAAGATCATCATCATCATTATCCAGCACAACTATAAGCATATGGCCTGTACAAAATTTTACAAACGAATGCGTAATAAAGAGCACCTTTTAAATAGGGTTGGGTCTTCAGAAAGGTTTTCATGGTTAAGAAATGTTTTTTTTTTAGAATTTAAAGTATAACTATAATCACAAATTTTTTTTTGTGCATTTTTATAATAATTACTTAGTTTGTTTTTGTAACTTTAATTCAATATTATTGCCGTAATTAATAATAAAAACAATCTTAGGATATTTATCATCACATTGCGTCATTAATTAATAAGTGCGTTGTGGCTAGATGTGAGAAGTCATAACGAGTTATGGTCCATTTTTCGCTCATTAAGCCTAACATATACAAACCTAATACTCCTTCCCAATACGCTGTTTTAATAGTAACAATGATGATAACCATAATAGATTTATCATCATCATTAATTAATAATACGGTTCTAAGATCTGAATAATATGGAATATTTGATTCATAATTTAAAACTTCATTGTCCAGTTATAAATAAAAGACAAATGGAAAACTATCTATCTTTTTAAATTTATAATGCNCTGGCAGGGCTGTTGAGTCGGAGTCGTGGAGTTTTGGTGTTTTAGTCGGAGTCGGATGATAAGGAAAAGTCGGAGTCGGTAGATTTTTACGCAACTTCCACAGCCCTGGCAGGGCTGTTGAGTCGGAGTCGTGGAGTTTTGGTGTTTTAGTCGGAGTCGGTAGATTTTTACCCGACTCCACAGCCCCTGCTTAAATTTATAGTGTAACATAGTAACAAATAAAACTCATCGCTTACACTTTTAAAAAATCTGAGAAATCGTTATTTCAAAGTGTAAAATATTTCGGAAGAATGTTGAAAATTTCACATAGCTATTAAATCATAATGTTCAATTTAAAGATTCACCATTTACGGAAACTTCACTTTCCTCCACAAGCTTTGTATAACACCAATCACAGGATAAGGTCATCCAATCTGCTCTCGGATGACCTTACCCTACTAAAAATGAAGCAGTGTTTATGCAAACGATTCAAACATTCATTAAAAACCCGATATAAGTTATTTAACAGCGTAATTTATATTGTATGAAAATGCACATACAACAGGTCCTCGATTTAACCTTAAAAATTTCTGTCATAAAGGAAAAATTTTATATTCTGTTTTTATTCACAAACAATACAAAATGTTGGGTCAATGAATCAATAAGTGTAAATAACAGTACATCATAACAATATTTAATACATCTTGTACATTGTTAAAAATATACAGTCATTATTTGTTCTAAAAAAAGGCAGAACCAATGCATGACCTGATGCAGCGAATTTATTTCGTTTATAAAATAATGATATGCATTTCGAGTGTATGTAGAACTCTTTTTCAGTAATCGATCTCTGTAAAAACATACATTTATACTATTACAGCCATTTACTATTTACATTTAATATATTACTAATCTTAACATAGACTTAAGCCTACTTGTACATCTCTTCCGATAGATACAGTAGAACTTTATGATCCAACTTTGATCTTAAACTTCGTTCTCAAACTTCTACGAGAAATGTTATGGGAAGGTATATATGTAAATATGTTAAGGTTAGTAAAATATTAAATGTAAATAGTAAACGGTTATAACAGTATAAATATGTTTTTACATACATCGATGACTGAAAAGAGTTCTATAAACACTCGAAATGCATATCATCATTATATAAAGTTACTGAATCAAGTCATGCATTGATTCTGTCAAAAACAAATAAAACAAAAAATGTATTAATCATGCGATTCTCTACAATTGGGAATTCAAAAATATTGATATACTGTATATTTATTAATAAAGAAAATATATTTTATTTAATGGATTTCCAGCAAAAGAAGACACCCCTTTCCCAATTAATCCTTTAAGTCGAAGACCTATAGACAAAATAGGATTATATTCTTGCACTAATCTTACTTATTTTCTTATTTAACCAAAATTTTATTTCTTGCAAAATTTGTTAAACAACATAAATATCAATATTTTGATTATTTTCTTTCCTAAATTAAATATATTCCATATACTATTATATATAAAATTATTTATGCAATTTTGTTGTTACACGTCAAATAATTATTTGCTATTGTAACAAACAAGAAAGTATTTCGCAAAATTTCCTGTAAAATATCTTGTATTATATTACGAAATGAATTACAAATCTATGATGATGTGAGAAAAAAGCATTATTATTATTATACAAGATAATATCTCCTAAAATCATTACTCATCAAAAAATATTAGAAATATAAAACCAGTTATTTGTTATTTCAAAAACTTTTTTAAGACTATACATTAATTATCATATACATAAAACACTATAAATATTATTATTAATTCAAATAAAAAGTTTTCCTTTTATTTAAAATTTCTATAAATTCTTTTAATAAACTTTTAAATTATGATAAATAACTATTAAATTCAGTTTTTATTGCGTTATGTATAAATTTTTCTATACATAAAAATAGCCATGTTTTCCTTTAATTAAATAATTATAAGTTGGAATTTACTTTTCCAGTGTTTTTGGACGTTATTTTATTTAAAATAAGAAAAATTAATATAAAATAATTTATGATTTTAAAAAAAGTAAGTTGATACCAACAAAAAACTATACAGTTGTAAATTAATATAAAATTCCACCAATTTATATTTAGTATATAATTTACAAATAGATGTAAAAAAGTTACGCATATGGTCTGAATTTTTTCTTGTTGTTTATAAGTGACTTTTTAAAACGGAGCAAAAGGTCATTATTTGTTGTTCACCTTGAGCTTAAGTTTTCCCACAAGTTTTCAAAGCAGCAAGTTTTTAATAAAACTTAACAAACTTGATCATAAGATTGTTGGAACAGCGTAATTTATCCTTTTGTTTTGGAAAACAAAAGCTTTTAGAAACAATCGAAGAAAAAAATTATAGAGCCTATTCTTTTCGCTATTTCCCATATATTTAAAGCAAACTTATTATCCAAGAATAATTATATATATATTTGTATGTATAATGTAGAAAATTATTAACAGAAATAATTAGTAGCAAATTGAAAGACTCATTTTAAAAGAATTTTGTCCAAATGTTTTTAAAATAATGACATTATTTATTTATTCGCGTATTATGCATTATGCGTTGTATTTCGTATATAATATAATACAATACAAATAAAAATGTCATTATTCTATAAACACTTCGACAAAAATGAAGCTGTGGAATATCTTTTAATTTTCTATTGATTAATTCTGTTAATAATTTTCTAAAACTTTTAAATGTTTTCACTTCTAATTATTAATTACATATTTGCAGATCTATTAAATATTTATATAAAAGTTTAGAACTATAATTCTTATTACAATACTTTTTACTACTTTATTAAATAGAAAGAAGCGTAATAATGCAATTTTATAACATAAATAGTACACAAATAGTTCATTTATGATTTGCATACAAATTTAAATTAATACGTAGCATGTATTAAAATGTTAATGAAATTTTAATGTAAACGAATTAATGAAATCAAATGGAATTTTTAAATCTTAAGACAACCAAAATATCATGTCACGAATTATGAGAAATTTAAACCGCAAATAAATTTAACACATTTTAATATATTAAACTAATATTTATTCGTAGAAAATCTGAAATTATTTCTTTTTTTTTCCTTTTATCATTTCTTGAAATCAAGATTATTACAGTTACAAGGAATGAGTCTGCAAAAATCTTTAAAAGTCTATTTAATTCTTAGAAATAATTAAAGTTAATAATAAAAAATATCATAACTAATCGAATAAACGCTATTACATTCATAAAATAATATCATCTTTGTTTTTATTTAAAATATAATTTTAATAAATACATAATTTTTAAGGACATTTTAAAATAACGTTTTGCGGTTTATTTTTTAATAGATAGATATTTAAATGGTTATGTCGAGTCCGTCTAAATTCTAAGAAAACACAATGCAAACAAGTTTTAAATTATTTATGGATTTGATTTTAAAAAAACGAAATAAAAAATAATAATAAGATTAATAACCTTGTTTATCCACAACATTAAATCACTTTATTAAGAATATGTATGATATTATAAATTAAATGTTAAGAATGCATGTATAAAAACACTAATAAACTATATTTATTTTACATTTCAAGATCATTTTTATGCTCATTTTTACTGGCGATAGAGAAGCTCGAGGAGAAATTTTGAGAGGATATCCGTGCATTCGTCGTTTACATCAATTATATTGCGCCACGCCAGGCAACAAATATCCAATGTAAGTATTTCGAAAAAAAAAAAAAAAATCAAATTTTCAACTATGGCTATGGCCGGGTTTATGGACGGGCATCCTAGGCACGTGCTGAGGAGCTGCCATAAAAAAGATGATGATAAAATAGGGCAACCATAACTGCGAGTTCCCTGGAGCCCCATAAATAAATTCGTCTATGCTATAATTGATAATTTTTAATATTGCAAAGAATCAAAGAGATGTTTTTGTTTTAGTGAAAGAATTAAGTTATTTATTGACGAAAATAAAGCATTGATGAGAAGAATGTTTGGTGAATATACCTACGAACCCGACTTAAACTTCAACTCTTCTTTTCCTCGAGATCGATTTGAAACTTATGACGGACATGTTATTCGCCCTCGTTCCGAAAGATCGAGGAATTCCTATAGTGCATCTAACAACAAGTAAGAACACAAGTTTTGTAATTACACGTACAGTATTAAACGAATTCGAAATAATCTTAATTCTCAACATACATCATTTAGAGTAGATTCCTGCGAATCAGCTATTGAGATAGTGACTCCTTATTGGGCTTCGAATAGTGCTGGAAAAATTCGAGCTATTGTAAATACTCAACATCTGCAGCAAGCAATTCAACAAGAAGTTTGCCAGTAAGTACGAAAGAAAACCCAAATACAATTCATTTATTTTATAAATGTACAGTACTTTGAATTACTTTCTTGTCAAGGTCCGACCAGACAAAACGGTGTACGGGAGATTGTTCTTGCGAACAAAAATATAAATGGCACAGGTTGTTATCCTACGATCCCGATGACGACTGCAAAGGAATTTTTATGGATTGGTTCCTCTTTCCATCTTGCTGTGTATGCAGATGCACTAATAATCCCGGAACTACATGAATTCTAATTCAGAAAGTTTTTATGGAATATTAAATTTATTTTATAATAAACCTGTTTTTGTCAATCATTTATTTTAATTATTAAATTAATTTTTCTATGTAAAAATTATTATTTTATTTACTAAATTCTCACTCGTGTTTGTTCTTCATAATTTTATTTGGTATGTTCTGTTATAATGTTCAATTAAATTCTATAAAACTTCGGACGATAGTATATAGATAGCAGCATAAGTATTTAATAATTCTAGAAGTATTTTAAATGCTTATAATAAAGACGAGTTAAAATATAAGACTGTGAATTATTCAAGTAAAAAAAAACATTCAAATATTTTTATTGCTTTGAATGAGTCGCTGAATTATATATTTGCTAGAAATGCACGCTTCGCCGCTCAACGTGACGAAAGGCACGTCATACATCGCTTTCCTTTTATCAACTACAGTTCTGAATTATATAAAAAACGGAAGCTAATATTTTAGCAGCATGGATATCAGAATCAAGACATGTCGTCTTAGTATCCTATTTCAAGTCATACAACTATCCAATTTAATGAACTTGATTATATCTAATAAAATTCGAAAAGAGAAAAAAAAGAATTTATTAAAAAATTACAAATCATTAAAAATGTCGATTATTTCATTTTCATTAATTTTAGTTTTTATTTTATTTCATATTTATTAAGCCTAACGATCACGCTACATTTTCCATCGTATCAAATTAATAATACTTTCGTACGATTTCTATCGTTTGTTGTATATCCATCTCGATAGGGTTTCAAACGTCCTTTTATCTCCCCGGTTTTGTCCATTTTTTTTGCTCTACAACCACAAGCCCGGGCGAGATTTTTAAAATATGCATTTATGCTCGGGATTCTAATAAATGAGAATAAAGTAGCAACATCTTTTGTCTATTTAAAATAATTTCGTAACACTGCCAGTTAGGTTTGCCAGACAATACAATAAAAATCAAACATAATTATCCCATAATTTCAGAAATTAGAAAGCATACTTATTTATTCGAATACTGTATAAACAACAGATGAATTTTGGCACAACTGTATCAAATAATTAAGGAATTTTTTTTATGTATATGCAAAATGAAATTGACAATATCTTAAAATCTGAAAAGTACATTTTAAAAAAAGGATTAAGTTTGAAAAATATCACAATTTGTACAATTTTTTATAAAGTAAAATAGTCCTAAATAATTTTGAAAGACGATTGTAAATAAAACAGACTGCGTCTTACATTTTTTTAATAGTCAAATTTCAATAATAAAAATTGAAATAAGTTTGTTACAAAACGAAATTGATCCAAATCGCTCTTAATAGAAATACAGCTATACTCAATGTTACATTTTACACTTAAAAGTTATCAACAATAATGCATACTTTTATTTCGTTATATAATATACAGTGACTCCAGTTTAGCAGGGTTTTTAAAAATTTTATATTATAAACATTTGGGTCACGGAACCATTACAAATACATTGGGTCGCTTGAGCAAAAAGTTTGAGAAACGCTACAGTCTATACTGTAAATAAAATCGCTTAAAATCGTTACACGTTTTTCTGTCATAAAAAAAAGAATCGGCGACACCGGGTATTAATGAATTGTCAAATTTTCGGACAAGTGGGTGAAGCCCCCCGGAGCGAGCTAATGAAACGAGTGAGAGGCGAAGTCCCTAGTATTTATATAAATACAGTAGAGCGTCGTTTATCCGAATCAATTGGGAACTGGGGTTGTTCGGATAACCAATTATGTACGAAAAAATATATTAATTAATTTAGCCCGTGTTGAAATTTTTCTCCGTTGCGTGTCGCTTCGAGTTTAATTTTCGTCAATGTTAAGCCTAACGAAGACTATTGTATCGTTAAAAATTATTTTTTTTATTTTGTACAAACAAAATAAATATATTGAAAAATATAAAAACAATAAAAAATTATACTTCAGAAGTTAATTTAGTATCAAAAACGTAAAACATTTGAGTAGCCGAAGACATAGCCAAAGATTACAGCGCCACAGCACTGGCGAAAATTTAAATTTGTCGACTGGAATTCCTTCGGATAACCGACCTTCGGATAAACGACGCTCTACTGTATTTAAATTTCTAACAAACTTTTGAAAGTTTGTTTAAAAATTATGATTTGAAAGTTGGCTTAATTTTGCTTTGCAGTACCAGACCATGTGGAATGAATATTCTCATTAATGCAGTTACAGTATACCAAAGAAATAAATCGCCTCTGTAGAAACACTTAAGATCATCATCATCATTATCCAGCACAACTATAAGCATATGGCCTGTACAAAATTTTACAAACGAATGCGTAATAAAGAGCACCTTTTAAATAGGGTTGGGTCTTCAGAAAGGTTTTCATGGTTAAGAAATGTTTTTTTTTTAGAATTTAAAGTATAACTATAATCACAAATTTTTTTTTGTGCATTTTTATAATAATTACTTAGTTTGTTTTTGTAACTTTAATTCAATATTATTGCCGTAATTAATAATAAAAACAATCTTAGGATATTTATCATCACATTGCGTCATTAATTAATAAGTGCGTTGTGGCTAGATGTGAGAAGTCATAACGAGTTATGGTCCATTTTTCGCTCATTAAGCCTAACATATACAAACCTAATACTCCTTCCCAATACGCTGTTTTAATAGTAACAATGATGATAACCATAATAGATTTATCATCATCATTAATTAATAATACGGTTCTAAGATCTGAATAATATGGAATATTTGATTCATAATTTAAAACTTCATTGTCCAGTTATAAATAAAAGACAAATGGAAAACTATCTATCTTTTTAAATTTATAATGCATAGTTTTGAAGGGTATATTTTTTAAATAAAAAACAGCTATCATACGATATTATGTTTTATTTCTATTATATTTTTGATCATGAAGTTAATCTTGTTAACTTCAACATATAATAATTTAAATATAAAAAAATTTTAAGGATAAATGAAATATTAAAGTTATGGTTACAAAGCTACTGGCATGTTTTTTTCTTATAAAAAAATAAATAAAACAAGCTTCAAACAACTTTATCTTATTTTTATGAATTAACTTAATTCCAATTATCTCATGAAAAATAATTATTGTAAAATAATTTTTAACAATTTATTTTTAATAGGAATTTTAACAATCATAACAAATGAAATGTTCATCTATTTTAATGTATGTACTTAATTCTATAATAAACAATATTTTATTACATAATAACTATGCACAGCATAAAAAAACACAGCACATTCATAACAACATTCTCTTTTTACAATAATTTCTTAATAACTAAAACAAAATATGTATAATTTGTAAAAACATCATTCCATATGCAACTAATCTTTTTAAGTAACAAGTTTTGCAAATATTCACATATATTTATTTACATTTATATATATATTAAATTAAACTTTATAATGATAAATGAAATTTACTTTAAAATATCAATTACAATTGGAAGAATTTTTTTAAAATTAATTATTATAATTTAAACATTAAACAAACATGAAAGATATTTAAAATTTTCATTATTCTTAAAACAATAAAGATTCATTAGTAACAATTATTAATAAACTATACTGATACCTAATAAAATTATATCTAATCTTATTTTTATTTTAAATAATTTATATATAGTTATGCAAAAGAAAGAAAATCTACAAGTTATAAATTAATCAGAAGTTAAATTAACAATTAAATAAATTAAGCATTTAGATATTTTGGTCCATTTTGTAATATTGATATGATTCTTTTTCAATAATTTCATTACTAATTTCTAAATATATTCAATTTTAATAAAATATACAATAATTCCTACGGAAATTTTCCTTTTGCATAACTATATATGCATATAATATATATTTATATATTTGGCAAATTTTAAATGACTTAATTTTATTATTTCAACTAAAATTTAAAATTGTATAATAATTATTGTCTTAAATAAACTTTTTGGAAAATTTTTTAAATAATTATTTTTAATTTTAACAGAATGTTTACAAACTAAATTAAAAGGAACAAATTTATTTATTGTAAATGGAATATCCAATAAACCAATGTTAATTGGTTATTCCATTTATAAAAAATGTGATAAAAAATTTGAGTTTTATATACAATATTAAAGTAGTGTGAAAATACAAACTTTTCACATTTTAATTGATATTTACTAAAGGCACTTGACAATATTAACATAATTACTTTCAGTAGAAACCTGATATAAGAAAACCTGATATATATGTAATGAAATACAGTATTTGACTATGAACATAAATCTTTGTTATTATTTCATCATCTATATACGTAATACAGGCTTTATTTTGTTTAAAATTCAGTCATTTTCAAATGACCTTCATACATAAAGTCTATTGTATATACAAGTTAAAATATTTCTGAAATATAAAATAATGTATATGTATTTTGAGTAAGAAAATGAAATTTATTTTATTTGATAAATATAAAAAGATAAGAATATTAATTGCTAATGCAGTTACTTTTATTATAACAAAAATTTTAAACATAAAACACTTTCTACAAATGTTAAAGCCCTTCTTACAAATATATATTAGAAAATGAAAAACACAAATTAAACTATATCCAAAGGATATGTTTTAAATTAAAAAAACTGGTTTTTTCATAATTACTGTTACTATTGTTATCTTTATATAATTAGTTCTATTTAATTCTAAGCCATATCTTAAAACAGTGTAGAAACAAACTTTTAATTTAAAGTTATAAATATGATATTTTTTTATATTTAAATGTCAAAAGTTGAAACTTGCTTCTTACAAATTCTTTACAAAAATATTTTTACAATAATAAATAAAAGTATATGTAAAAATTCTAAATAATAATAATTGCAGGATATGAAGTTTATACAGAATACAATTAGCAAATGCCATACAATCCAAATACAGGATTAAGTTTATATTCTAGTATATACCTGAGTTAATTTTATATAGTTTAAATTAAAATTTAAAATTAAATTCAAAGAAAAATTGATAAAAATGTTTAAATTTACATAAAAATATAAAATAATTTT